CCTTCAGGTACTGGAAGGCTGCTATTAGGTCTCCCCAGAGCCTCCTCTTCTCCAGGCTGAACAACCCCAGCTCCCTCAGCCTGTCCTCGTAGCAGAGGTGCTCCATCCCCCTGATCATCCTTGTGGCCCTCCTCTGGACCCTCTCCATCAGGTCCATGTCCTTCTTATATTGAGGGCTCCAGACCTGCACACAATACTCCAGGTGAGGTCTCACCAGAGCAGAGTAAAGTGGCAGAATCCCCTCTCTGGACCTGCTGGCAACGCTTCTTTTGATGCAGCCCAGGATGGGATTGGCCTTCTGGGCTGCAGCTGCCCACTGCCTGCTCATGTCCAGCTTCTCGTCCACCAGCACCCCCAAGTCCCTTTCCTCAGGGCTGCTTTCCAACACCTCACCCCCTAGTTTGTATTGGTGGTGAGGATTGTTCCGGCCCAGGTGCAGAACCTTGCATTTGCTCTTGTTGAACCTCATGAGGTTCACCTGGGCCCACCTCTCCAGCCTGTCCAGTCATTTAGTCATATCCCATCTGTGCTGAAAGATACCATGAAGGATTCAACTCTGAGCTCCTGTGGTTGTGGTTCATCTGAACCACTCTAGAGCTCTGTGTCTGGGTGGCATGAATCCACACTGAGAAACGCTGGGTTTCTTTGGTGCTTTAACATGAGAGATGACCCTTTATTTTGACAATTAGAGTATTTTACCTCACAAGTTATAATAATATGAATGAATGTTGAATTGTTTATTGTGGTATACATATCCTTTAGAAAGTCCTAAAAGCATAATGGCCACTGAATTGCCCTGTAGGAAATAGTCTCAATGCTGTAGCAACAGCACAGCAACACCTCATAGGAAGGAAAGATTATTTTAAAATAGACTCATTTCAGTCCATCACACTGTGATGCCCACAAACAGCAGTTTGCAGAGCACCCAGGCACCATGTCCAGGCATCCTGCCCAGGGTCGCTTGCAATGACACAGGGGACAAGGGGCATCGGGTTTGGAGCCCCTCCCCACACTTTTGGGCTCTTCTTGGGACATGCTCATTTTGGGATGTTTCTTATCACACCCTTCAGGAAATGACTGTGATTTATCTCTTTTTGTTGTCCAACCTCTGAGTCAAAACAGCAGTTTGCAGAGCACCCAGGCACCATGTCCAGGCATCCTGCCCAGGGTCGCTTGCAATGACACAGGGGACAAGGGGCATCGGGTTTGGAGCCCCTCCCCACACTTTTGGGCTCTTCTTGGGACATGCTCATTTTGGGATGTTTCTTATCACACCCTTCAGGAAATGACTGTGATTTATCTCTTTTTGTTGTCCAACCTCTGAGTCAAGATTTAGTCGTCTTCATTTCAGATCTGCCACCTATAGGTGCTCAAGATTTAGTCATTGTCTTCATTTCAGATCTGCCACCTATAGGTGTCAGCAACACATACCATTTAAATAGCCCTCTCCTGCTGGTATGTTGCTCTCCTGCATTAACATTCACTCTCCATTTCTACCAGTATAAACGTTTTTAATACAATTTTCTACAGCGCTGTAAGATTCCTGAGCTTCTCTTTTCTAATGAATTGTAGGCATTTTGGTACCTGCTGGCAAAAAATGGCAGTTAGCTTTTGTGGCTCAGAGGTTTCCTTCCCAGTTTCCTGGCCCAAAATTGCAAATGAAGATTACAATTCACTTACTTCTATGCAATTACTTCATCTGTAAATTCAAGTCTGAGCCAACCTTCATATTCTCTCTCTCTGTTTTATTGGATTCTGGTGAACTGCCTGGTGTGCCTTCCCACTTGCTCAGCCTCGTTGTTCACCTTACATTATACCTTTTCATCCCAGACAAACTGAGGTAAACTTTACGAGGGAAGAGAAGAGACACTGTCTGTTGATAGGACAGTCAGAAATCTGTTCAGTAATGGAAAAAGGTATTTAATTCACTTCTAAATAATCTAAATGCTCTCTGTGAGTTGTTGTAATACTCTGTCACTGACCATCATATATTTATCAAAAACTATCTCAGTGGCTAATCAGCACTTTATTGGTTATAATAGAGATGTCAGTTGGCATCAGATAAAGATTTTGATCCAGATTCTCTATGCAGCGTTTACGGTTGGAAGCAGCTGCTAAATTTCTCCTGAGAATTGGAGCAGAGTGATCAATGCCAGAGAGCTGATACGAAGTTTAGTTCCACAGAACCCTGTTACAAGAAAGTCAGGGTGTCTGAAGGAAATCTGAGCTGTGGGAGAATGAGGCAGACATTTTTAATTCATATTATTAAGAAGAAAATACTTTTCTGCACATGATTCCATCACAGAGCACGTTTCATGCAATGCTAAGCATTGAAACATAACTTCAAAAACCGCTTAACAGAAGAATGCATTTCTGGTGTGGAAATACAAGTAACATATATGAATGTGAAGAGTAAATCAAATATAGCATCTAAAAATCTAGTAAAATTTTCTATTGTTCAGTAATTCAAACAGCATATGCCCCTGTTAGATCTTAAATTATGCTTCTGCATAAACAGTGTTGTTAATATTGTTATAGCCCTGTAAGTAAATTGGCTGCTCAGTTTTCATTATGCTTCATAGAAACTGCATAGACTGCTTTAAAAAACCTCTGCCTATACTTAGAGAAAAGTACATGTTCTAATTATACTGATAGTTTCACATGTTGAGAGTAATTTCTCAGCTGTTTCATGCATTTGTAGCTGGACTTGGGTTTGGGGTTTTTTCATGTAGAAGTTGATGGCATTTCTGAGCTCAAATCTTGTCACAGTAGGATGTCTCTTTATTTGAAATTATATGAGTACAGGAATTAATTCTTCTGACAACCTCTGTTCTGCTTTTTGTAAGTGGTAAATTCCAGCCTAAGGAGATGTCAAATGACAATGAAGAGAGGCTTGCCTAGAAAAAATAATGATAATTCATGTTTTCCGCTAATTAAAATTCAAAACCACCAGCGTGTGTATATTAAAGCAAAACATTATTAGATGTATACAAATTAAGGCTGCCTTGGCCTTAGTTTTCTAATTTGTTAGAAAAGCAAGGTTGATAAATTAGCAAATTTGACACTTTGCTATGTTGTACAATATTTTAAGGAAAAGAACTACCCATAAATGTTCTTTTTTTTTTCTTTAACCTCACTGCATAATCATTTTCTTTTGGATTTTTTTCAGCTAAGGTATTATCTGTTTGCGTGGCTTTACAAACAAATGTGCAATGCGTCCTTCGTCTGCCTTTACTCTCTTGCTTTGTTTTTTTTTTTAATATCACAGACCTCAAGAAGCTTTGTGTCCTCAGTGTGTCCTGAAAGACATTCAGTAGTGTCACATACACAAACTAGACGTGGTGTATGAGTGACAAATATATGGATACTCAGCCATGGCGAATGCAGGATTGCCAAAACAAGTATTCTGGCACTTTCCACAGGTGAAGTTGGATGGGTTGAAGGATGATGGTGCTGGCCTCTCTTCAGTGGTTTCCAGTGATAGGATGAGGGGCGAGGGGCACAAGCTGGAACATAGGAAATTCCATTCAAATGTGAGGAAAAACTTTACGGTGAGGGTGACAGAGCCCTGGAACAGGCTGCCCAGGGAGGTTTTGGAGTCCCCTTTTCTGGAGATTTTCAAGACTCGCCTGGATGCAGTTCTGGGCAATGTGCTCTGGGCAACCCTGCTTTAGCCGGGGAGTTGGACTAGATGATCTCTAGAGGTCCCTTCCAACCATGGGGCTGCCTGGGGAGAAGCTCCAGGTCCTTCCCTCAGCAGGGGACAACCCCAGCCTGAGGCGTGGGGGAGATGGTGAAGCCCAGGAAGCCAGGTGGTGGCCGGGGACGGCTTGGGAGCTGAGGGCTCGGCCCAGGCAAGGCGCGGGAGGTCCAGGCTGTGCGTGAAGGCCACCAACACGAGGTTTTTGTCCTTGGGACACCCCAGGCCCGCCCCTGGCCGCAAGATGGCGTCGCCCGCCCCGCCCGGCCCGGCCCCCTCGGCGCGGAGGAAGGCAGCGGCAGCCCCGGCTGTCAGCCCTCTCCAGAGCCGCGGCGGAGACACCCTCCTCCGCGCCATGGAGCCGCAGGCACAGGGTGAGTCTCGCCGGGGAAGGGCCGAGGCCGTGCGGGGACGGGGGTGGAGGTGCCCCGCTGAGGGGGGAGCGGAGCGCGGGTTGAGGTAGCCGTGAGAGGTTCCCCGGTACCCCGCTGGCCGTGGCGACCCCGGGCTCCGCCACCGTGGCCCGGCCCGCGGAGCCCCCTCTATCCCGCCCGGGGCTTCCTTCGGCTTGCTTTCTTTATTTTACTGTGTGGTTGGGATGGTGACGCGTTGGGTCGCTCCTTCTGCTGGGTTTTCCCCGTTTTGAGGGTTTTTCCCGGCCAAAGTTGCCCGGTTACAACTTGGCGTGAAGTTAACGTGGGTCAGGGCGTGGGGTTGAAGTAGTTTGGGGTGAAGTGTCCTGGCCCGGCCGCCTGCCCTCACCTCCCCCCCCCCCAACATAGGAAATTCCATTCAAATGTGAGGAAAAACTTTACGGTGAGGGTGACAGAGCCCTGGAACAGGCTGCCCAGGGAGGTTTTGGAGTCCCCTTTTCTGGAGATTTTCAAGACTCGCCTGGATGCAGTTCTGGGCAATGTGCTCTGGGCAACCCTGCTTTAGCCGGGGAGTTGGACTAGATGATCTCTAGAGGTCCCTTCCAACCATGGGGCTGCCTGGGGAGAAGCTCCAGGTCCTTCCCTCAGCAGGGGACAACCCCAGCCTGAGGCGTGGGGGAGATGGTGAAGCCCAGGAAGCCAGGTGGTGGCCGGGGACGGCTTGGGAGCTGAGGGCTCGGCCCAGGCAAGGCGCGGGAGGTCCAGGCTGTGCGTGAAGGCCACCAACACGAGGTTTTTGTCCTTGGGACACCCCAGGCTTCTCTAGGGAAGTCAACTCTGCCGCCTTCGCACCTTTTGACCCTTAAGCTGGAAGCTTAAACTTTGCTGAGGCGTCGGTTACGTCCCCTGGGGCCGCCCCTCCGCCTCTCCCGGCCCGGCCCCCTCGGCGCGGAGGAAGGCAGCGGCAGCCCCGGCTGTCAGCCCTCTCCAGAGCCGCGGCGGAGACACCCTCCTCCGCGCCATGGAGCCGCAGGCACAGGGTGAGTCTCGCCGGGGAAGGGCCGAGGCCGTGCGGGGACGGGGGTGGAGGTGCCCCGCTGAGGGGGGAGCGGAGCGCGGGTTGAGGTAGCCGTGAGAGGTTCCCCGGTACCCCGCTGGCCGTGGCGACCCCGGGCTCCGCCACCGTGGCCCGGCCCGCGGAGCCCCCTCTATCCCGCCCGGGGCTTCCTTCGGCTTGCTTTCTTTATTTTACTGTGTGGTTGGGATGGTGACGCGTTGGGTCGCTCCTTCTGCTGGGTTTTCCCCGTTTTGAGGGTTTTTCCCGGCCAAAGTTGCCCGGTTACAACTTGGCGTGAAGTTAACGTGGGTCAGGGCGTGGGGTTGAAGTAGTTTGGGGTGAAGTGTCCTGGCCCGGCCGCCTGCCCTCATCCCCCCCCCGGGTCCCATCCTCTGCCCCTCAGGGGGTGACATGGAAGGAGGGGGCTATCCCGTCCCCAAATCCCCAGCCTTCCTCCTCCGTGACAGAGGGGCGCCTCCGGGAGCGGGGACCCCCCGGCTGGGCTCCCCGCAGAGCAACGGGACGGGCTAAAGCCTTTCTGTGCCCTGGCAAACCCGGCTTTCCTGTATTTGAAGCCAACGCTTTCTTTTTCCTATTGCAACAGTTAAGTTAGCTATTCTTCCCTCTCTCTCTCTCTGGGTAAAGTTAATTGGCCTTATTGCAACAGTTAAGTTAGCTATTCCTCCCTCTCTCTCTCTGGGTAAAGTTAATTGGCCTTCAAAGAACAGAAGAAACTTTTCATGCAAGGTTTAAGATGGTGTTTGGGTCAACCCGAGGCAATTGGCATCCACGGATCTTGCTCAGCTTTGAGGTCTTGCTTGGGTTTTCTGAAGAACCTTATGACTTTGCTACACTTGTCCTTAAGTCTATAGTGCTCAGCAGGTGGTAAAAATATTTACGCAAAAGCAGAATGTTTAGAAACCATTTCATGTCATCTATAAAATAGGGAGGTAAAGTAAGGGGGAGACATACACTCATTGAAACTGACAAAAGTAGACTTCCAGAATAGTTAAAAACTGTCTTAAACCAATACACGTAAGAGGCCAGTGCTGATTGCAGATATGGTTGTACGTAAAGGAAGACAGTGGGAAGCTTGAGTTCATGATGCTTGTGAAGATGGAAGCCTCCCCGGCTGGAGCGTGCTGTATGTTCTGTCCTAACGGATTCATGGCTGAAGCTGATTGGCAAAATAAATAGATCTGTGCCTTAGTTCCTGGGGTTTTTAAAAGTCAGTATTAAGATTATAGCATAATATTGTTATTTAAACTAATTTTCTGAAAACATCTGTACAGATACTGTGGTTGGGCCTCTGTTCTTTAAACAGGCACTTCATATGGTAAAAGATCTTACCCTTTCTTGTGTTTTAGAATTGATGGAAAACAGTATCAGATTCTAATTAGCCGGATAGTGATATATGTGTGAGTGAATTTTTTACCTTCCCTGAGTATTAAGATGAATAAGTATGTTCTCACTACATATGTTAAAAATTCTAGCTAATAAATGTGTTTTGTTAGTGTATGTTTTGTTCAGCAGCATTCTTACTGCCACAGGTCTTTAATACATTGTTCTTCTGGATTATTATCTATTGGCTTGTGAGAGACTATAAAAGCATTTTGTACTGCTCAATTTTATCTAATTAGGAACTCTTAGTGCTTCATTTTTTTCTGCATGCAATTCAAGGAGCTTGGGAGCTTTTATTCTTTTTTTTTTTATAATCTTAAACTTAGTTGACTGAAAGACAAATATGGGACTTTTCAAGGCTATACACAATTCTTAAGTCAGTTTTTTCTTATGTTTCTCACCTGTGTAATTTATTTCTACAGTTTCTCGGAACAGTCTCCCATTACTTTAAAAAAAAAATAATCTTCCTTTGATACAGTAATAGTAAAAGCTAAGATTTTTGTGCTAGGTATTTGCATGCCAGAAAACCTTTGTTCCAAAATGTCCCTCTTTCCTTCTAGACTTCATTCAGTGCATGCTATTGCAGTTATGGAGCCTTGCTGGCAAAAAGAATGTAACCTGTATGTGTCTAATGCAGTTGAATTCAATTAAGTACATCTAAGCATGGGCCAGAAATTCCAGTTTGTCAATCCCGCTATGCAATTTTCAGAGCACAGTTAGAGGAGGTTACTAACAAAACAGTAGCAATTTGCTTGGTAAAAAGCCCCCACTTCAAGTATCTGCTTAAGCAGCAGGAGAAACATGTATACATTTTAATGAGTTTATGAATTGCTTCTAAGGAACCTTTAGATGCCCACAGAGGAATGAATCTTGAATGGTTTGTTCCAGTGTGCTCTGCTGGGGGGTATTGCATTCCAATTGAAAAGACAAAGTAAAAGCTATAAATTTGAAAGCACTGTCGAGTTTCTCATATTTAGCATTTTAAAGATTTTCTTTAAAAGGACCTTTCTACATAATTGTGTGGTTTTTGCCATTTTATATTGTCCTGAAGGGAGGCCTGAGTAGATCAATTTCATGTTCAAGAAATACACACATGCAAGTATAAAATGTAGATTTCTTCAGAGCAGGAAAATAATTTTTGTCAGCATTTTTAAATAGCAGCATGAATCAACCTCATAAATCTTAATGCATCTGTTTGAAAACAAAAAAAGTATTATTAGTGTAACTGTATCAAGGTACTGCATAGAGGTCACAGCTAACATCAGGAGTTTCTGTGTGGTTCAAGGCATAACATAACATCTGTCCATGCCCCAAAGACTGTGGAAGTTAAACGCTCTGATATTGATTGTAAAGCACTACAGAGACTTCATGAACCGAAATGGAATTACTATTGTACTTAAGTATATTGAATACGTCTTCCAGAATTTATGCTAACTAGATGAGAGTCTACCAGAGAGCAACAGTAATTAGTTAAAATTATTTTCTAAAAAAATAACCATATGTTCCATGTAAACAAATTCATATGTGTAATAAAAATCATAAATTGTACCTTTAAGACTCTTGGGTTGCTTTTATCTTTGATCATGTTTTCCTCTTAATGGTCCCAGAGCTAGCTGATCCTGGGAGCACACCAGCCATACTTATGCAAGGTGCTAAAAATTCCCTAAGAGTATATTTGTTTTCCTTCCTGTCGCTGTCAGTCATTTTTAAAGTGAAAACTTTGGAAGTCTGAAGAGCACTGTTTCTCTCTGAAAGACAGGAAAATCAGGACTATTTGCCTCTCGTGATACTCATTCAACTCCAGGTCCAGATTAACTGACTCCTGCGTAGTCCTGCTTTCTAGTTTGAAACAGTGAATGTCCTCTAATAGTGTCAATGCCATAGCTGTTTTCAGCTGTCTCTCATCTGAGAATCCCCTGTGACTTTTAACACTGGAGCTTTGGTCTTAATACGTGTCTCCTTTAACAATAGTTGCCCCTTTTTTCTTATATCCAGCTGTAATTATACCTCTTCCCTTCTCTGTTGTGTCCGGCTTTGATTCTTACACCGATAAAGCTTTGGTGCTTTCTCCTCTTTGCCGTTTTACCTACCCAGGTAGGTAGCTCAGCCAGCTTCTTGCAATTCTAGCTTCCAAAAGGGTTTCTGGGGGCATTTCCCTGCCCCAGCAATTCTTCTTACAGGTGTTCTGCATCCCCTCCTGGTTGTGCCATAATAGCTTGCTGTGGCTGTGCATACACCTGTGAAGCATTGTGGTGAGAGCTGTCGTTAGTCCAGATGTTAGATGCCTGTGTCTTTGCAGGGCTGCATCGCTCTGCTGATATGCTCCATCTGTGACCTTCAGGTCACTTGCATGTGACCTGTGAGGTTACAGAGCAGAGGGGCAGCACCTGGGAACGTGCCATTTGGCTGGAGCTTATTATGGAGCTTATGATCAGAAGAAAATAATTAAAAGTTGCAGCATTAGCTCAGTGGTCCTCTCTCTGCCACAATGGTGTCTGCCATCCCATAGTCAGGTGGTCTGGGGTGTCCCACGGTGGAGGAGGTTATGTGTTACCTGTGATATGGTGTACAAGACTCACCAAAACAAGGCACTGGCAGCTTGGTCAGCATTCTCTCTCTCCCTCTTTTTTCTCATTAGCTACTCATGGTTACCAATACGGATATGAATCTGCATAGAGAGTCAGTCTCTCAGTGGGAAGATGGGGATAAGGAACACAAGGAGATGTTACTTCACTGCAACAGCAGGGCACTGTGGCCATCACACCAAAGCACAGTCTTACTGGAGAGGGCAGCATCTTCCCTAGCCTCGTGTTTGGGGTTGGTGGCTCCTTGGTAACCAAGGAGCACTGACTGTTTTGGTTTGTGTTCTGTCAAAGGGCAGAGTAAAACTAGTGGCTTGGGGGCTGATTTAGTGTAAATTGTTCTATGAGAAGAAAATCCCTCTGCTCGTATAAGTCCATCAGCACACAGGTTGGTAAGTGTTGATACCTGTTGAGAAGATGGGAAGGATGAGGCAAGGGGAACCCTAGTTTTCTTGTCCAGCAGCAGCTGCTGGTTCTTTCCATTGTGAGAAGTGCATTTATGTTCCCCACCTGTCTTTGCAAGGAGAGCACCTGGCCACACTTCCTTCTGAGGCTTCAAGATTCGCTCTCATTAACCAGGGCTTTGTGCTGTCTCCTCACTGCCCTCTGGAGCTGACTGTTGCCCCACTATGGAAAGCAGGAGAGAGGGCTTCCCAGAGGGTTAGGTGGATATTGGGGTGATTGAACCAGCCAGTGATAACCTGCATATTTGACTGCATGGTGGAAGTCTCAGTTGCCTTGTTAATAACATCACATGAAGATGAGGTCAAGTGAAAATGGTAGGCTTGAAATTTATAATAGGATTCTTAAATATTTAACAAGGGTGCCCAGAGCTTGAGATAATTGCTCTTTCATCCTTTTTATACTAAAAGGAGGGAAAATACATGCATGGAATGAGTTATCTGATATATCAGATTTTAAGCAAATAAATGTCTGAAATCAAATGCAGTGCTTCTGTTTTACCCTTTTGAACCTGTACTGCTTTCAGCTTTATGACACC